GCCGTTTATCAGCCAGTTACCTAGATCTTTGGAGCCTCAGTTTACCCACCCATAAAATGGCGCCTGTCCCGCCGGGGGGGCTTGGGGAGGACGAAGGGCGGAGCCCTGAGGCGCCAGCCCGGCCCCACCACAGCCAGACCGAGTCCCGTCTGAGTGGGGCACACGCCCGTGGCCGGTTACTGGGAGGCGCGGGAAAGGGCTGGGCCGTCTGCCCGCGGGCGCGCAGGGGGCGGGGGGGAGGTGAGGCCTGCCCGCCCGCCTCGCGTCTCTGCAGCCTCGGAAGCCGTGACTTGTCAGGTAGCTCATGACCGGCCTTGGCCTGAGGGCTCAGGCCTGGCCTCCGGCCTCCGTGCCCACGGTCCACAAAGGCTGCCTCACTCGGTGCCACACCCCGGGCCGTGGGGCGTGGTGGGGACCGTGGCCCGGCCAGAGGAGTCCCCAGCTAGACAGACGGAGCGCCACCCCTAGCTCCAGCCTCTGGTGTCAATGCCCCTGACTCTAAGGAAGGAAAAGATCAGCAATGTTTCCTAAAAGACCTTTTTTTCTTTAAAGATTTACTTATTTATGCACGCAGAGCTGGGGTGCAGGCCAGAGGTGCAGGGGCTGAGCGGCTTCACCAGAGGCAGAGCGGGGAGCAGGACAGGCAGGCCGACGAGGTCCACTGGCGAGGGGAGCAGCGGGCGGGCCGGGAGAGGCCGGCGCGCCCTGGGGTCCCCTCCGGGGGGGATGGATGGACTCGTGCTGCGGCGGCTTCCGCTTCTCGGCGGCGCTCTGACCCGCGGCGCCCCGGGGACCCCAGCTCCGCCTGGCTGGCTCCTCTGCGCCCCAGCCGCCAGACTGGTCGCGGGCCGGGTCTTGGCTCTGGTCAGCCGACAGGCGTCTCTGAGAAGGAGCCTCGTGCGTGTCGCGACAGCTGAGAGAATGCCTGGGCTCAGGCGCCAGCTCCCTGCTGGGCGACCTTGGGGAAGGACGCGGCCTCTCTGCACCCCGCTTCTGCGTCGTCAGGTGGAAACGCTCCACGCTCCAGGAGCGGACTGCTTGCTGTCCCCTTAAAGAAAACCACGTGTCCAGCCGCGGTGGCTCAGGGCGCACCGGGGGTCCGCCGCGGCCGCCAGCCTGCGCTCGCCGCCCTTGGCGCGGTTTGACCCTCTTGCCCCCCGCGAGTGAGTCAGCCCGCTGTGAGGTCAGCTCCCGGGCGAAGCTCACACACGGCGCGTGGACCGCGCGAGGCCCCTCAAGCAGCCCCGTGGCCGTACTGCAAGCTGAGGGGGGCGAGCTCGGGAGCACGGTGCCAGGATGAGGGGCGCGGGACGGCCAGGGCAGGGGCGGTGGACAGGCCTGCGCTGCCCGCAGCCCAGGTCTGAAAGGAGTTGTCTTGTGGTGGGAGGGAGACAGTCGTGGGGCCCCCAGGAGGCCAGGGGGGGCACACTGCCCTCCCCCGGGCCCGAAGGCGAGGCGGAGGAGGAAGCCCGTGTCCTCGGCTCCTCCTGCCCACGCGTGTCCCTGCCGCTGGGTCCCTGGCCAGCCGGCAGGCGCCCCGGGAGCACTGGGCTGCGTGAGGGACTGGCGAGTGCCCGTCCCTGCTCCACACACAGCACTGCTGGACAGGCCGAGGTGTCATGGGAGAGAGTGTGGACGCGGTGAGCAGGAGCGGTCCAGCAGAGCTGGCTGCTTCCTGAACATGAAGGGGTGACGGGGGCTTCCTGGAGGAGGGGGCTTTGGGCTGCGCGTGGCCTGTTGGGAATCGGAAGCGGAGTGGAGCAGCTCAGCTGCCAGACACCCTCAGGGGTCCGGTGAGTGGACCCAGCCCACCCCCTCTGTCCATGTCTAGTACCTGACCTGTGACCGGGCCCCAAGCTGGACGGAGCAGGACGGTGGCCAGCGCGGGCTGGCCGAGCACCCGGCTCAGACCCCGGCCTCGCTTACCCTTGTATAACGTGGGAAAGGGATGGCCTCCGGGTGGCCGGGAGCCGAGCGGTCAGGCCCCGCGAGGCCTGCGGCCCGCACCGCCTCGCAGCGCTGAGGCCCAGCGCCCGGCCTGCAGCCCCGACTGCCTTCCCTGCAGCCGCCACCTTCATGGAGCACTGGAAGCGGAAGCAGATGCGGCTCAACTACCACTGGGACCTCACGGGCTTCGAAGAGGAGGAGGTGAGGGCCCACGCTGCCCCCCCGTGTCACCCCAGACGGCCGAGCCGGGCCGCCGCCGGGCTCCGGGCGCCTCCGTCGCCAGGCAACCGTTTGCTGCCCGCCGGGGCTTTCTTTCATCTGGTGCTGAGTGGGCGCCCCGCCCAGCAGTGTGGTCAGGGCGCTCGCCAAGGCTGACCACACTGACCTCCTCTCGTCTGGGGTGGTCGGCAGAGCGGGGCGGGCATCGCCGCCACCCTTGAGGCCGAGTCCAGGCGCCAGAGCCAGGGCCCCCGGCCCCGGGGTGGCTGGGGGGGGCGGACCCCGCACCCGTCCTGGGCGGGTAGGACGCCCGTCCGGGGGGCCGCTGGGCGCCGCGACCCCTCACCCCGGGTTCCGCGGAGAAGCCCCGAGGCCGCCCGCGCCCGTGCCTGCCTGCGGCCAGAATCCCCACGAGGCGGGATGCGGGCAGCGGGCGCCCGCCGTTTGTAAAACGCCGCTCCTGGCGCTCGGAGAAGCCCGTGCCTCACCGCCACGGAAAAGCCTCTTCCGCTGCCGCCCAGCCGCCCACCCGCGGTCAGACGGAAACCCCCAACTGGGCCCCGCCTGCCAGGCGGGCACGAGGGGCACCCCGAGGGCCAGTCCCAGGCCTGGGTGGGCAGCGGAGGCCAACAGGGCAGCACCAGCCGGGGCAAGTACGGCCTCCCGCCCTCTGGCCACGGTCGTCCCCCCAGTGGGAGGCTGAGGCCAGTGCAGCTGCGCAGGCTGGAGCTGGCCGCGGGGCCGCGCCTGGACGCCGTTTCCGGGGGCATCGCAGTGATACCGGGACAAGAGCAGCAGTCGTTGCCGCTACGGTCTGCGTGTCCTTCCGGATGTCCCTGTGGGCGGAAGGAGGGCCTGGCCCCACGGACTCTTCCCCTGCTGGCCCAGGCGCCGGGCGGGGTGGCCTCAGGGCTGCTGGGGGGCAGTGAGCTCCCCGGAGAGAACCGTGAGCCCCCGCAGCCCCTCAGGGAGCTCCCCAGACACCGGTGCAGCCTGCGGCCTTGGAGGGAGGCCGGTCCAGCCACGTGGCCACGGCTCCTCGCGGAGCCTGAGGCTCCAGTCCACCCCAGGACTGTCCCCGCCGCCGGGCCAGGGCCGTCCAGCGGCGGCGGCCCTGAGCAGCCGCCCCTCCCGTGGCCCGTGGCCCGTGGCCCGTGGCCCCGGCCTGGTCCACAGAGCTTTACCTTTACAGGATGTGGCCCGTCGGCTAGAAGCAGCCTAAGTAACGAAATCTCTCTGTTCTTGTTTTCACGTGTCTGGCTCCCTGAAGGAGGCTGTCCAGGTTTGAACTTTTTTCACCTGCTCTCGCCGTGGCCTGTCTCCCTGGGAGAGGGATCTCGCACCTGACCAGGCTCTCGGGCTGCCGCGGCGCTTCGGGCACGGCGGGTCTCTGCTCCCCTCACGGCTCTCTTAACCCTCTTCTTTCCAGCGCCCTCGCTGACCCCGCCCGGCTGGCGCCGCCGGCCTGCCCGCGCTTGCCGACTCTCGCTGCTGCCTCCTCTGACCGCGGCTGTTCCGTAGGACGTTCTCGGGGCTAGTTCCTGGCTGGGTGCTCACCGACAGACAGGCGGCCGCTCTGGGGCTCTCCTGTGACGGGGTCAAAACGAGGGGGTGTCCCGGGCCGCGTGGGGGCCTACATTGGAAACGTGCCAGCGGCCAGCTAGGAACTGGCCCCGCGGGGCGCCGAGGCCAAGGCCCGGGCTGCATTCGCCTGGGGCGCTCACGTAGAGCACCGTGGACACGCCGGACGCTCCATGTCGACGTGGTTTCCTTCGCAGGACCATCCCAGGGCTGAATACGAGGCCAGAGTTTTGGAGAAGACGCTGAGGAAGGAATCCAAAAACAAAGAGGTACGGGGACCCCGCCACGTGGCTTCCCAGCAGCAAGCAGCGTGCCCCTCGACCTGGTAGGCCAGGGCGGCCCCAGGACAGGGCCGGCCTCTCCCGCCCCCAGGCTGGCCCCAGCCCTGACCGCAGGTGCACAAGCACCCCTGGCCGCGAGCCAGGAGCGCTCTCCCTGAACCCACGAGCAGGAGCCAGCCTGGCCGGCCAGCGGGGTTTCTCAGATCTGCTATAAGTCTTGCTAACTGTCTGGGGTGACGGTAACCTGCGGGCCACGTTTCAGCCGCCAGTACTGGGGAGCCGTGCAGGCTTCTCAAAGCGCACTGGACATTCAGCCGCCCCCTCGCCTGGCCTGAGGTCGCTGTCTCCCGCGACAGCTGCCCCTCCTCTGTCCCCACCCTCTCGTGCACTGGCAGCCGCCCCACAGCCAGGGTTCCCAGCTCCAGGGGTGCTGGCCGGCGCTTCGATGGAGGTTTAACGAGACCGGGGACGCGAGGGGCCCAGGACCCTCGCCGGCCGCCGCTGGGCCGGGCGGTCCAAGGGGGCTCTTCCCACGCTGGTGTCCACGGCCCTGGCTGCTCCCTCTGTCGGTGCGGCCTGGCCCCGCCGGTGTCCAGACGGTCCCCTGAGGCTTCTCCGAGGCACTGGTCAGTGTGAGTGTGGACGGGCAGACGTCTCGCTCCTTCCCAAGGAGAAACAGGCTCCGAGGGGACAGGGCTTCCCAGCCGCCCGTGTCCCCGACTCCAGCATCACGCTGCCCCGGGGCTTTGACCCCCGCTCTCTGTGGTCTTGGGGAGCCCCTTGCTGTGGACACCAGCAGCAGCTCCAGAGGGAGCTCGCCGGCCGCCGCCTCTGTGTCCCCCTCTTGGAGATTCCCCGCCGCCCTTTGCCAGGTTTGTGGCCCCACATTCACTTGGGGAGGAAAGGGAGAGACGCACCCCTCCCTGGGCACACCGGCCCCCACGCGTGGGCGTGTCTTCACGCCGCAGAGGCCGGGAACCGCAGCAGCTAGGTCAGGTGACCTTCGCAGCAACACGGCCTCGGCCCCCAGCACCTGTACCTCCAGCCCTCTGGCAGCAGCTCCCTCCGCACACGGGCTTGTGCCACCTCCGACCGGGACACAGCCCCCAGCCCCGCTCGGCCTCGGCGGCGGCCCACCAAGGGACAACGATCTCGCTGCTGGGGGCTGCGCGGCCGGCCCTCCATCCTGACCCCCCACCGTGCTCTCTTGTTCCCCGCCTGCCCTCAGAAGCGCCGGCACCTCCCAGAGGAACCCACAAACAAGTGGAAGCAGAGGGTTAAGACAGCCATGGCGGGGGTGAAATTGGTACTTTTCTCTTGGGGCGTGACACGGGTCGAGTTTGCAGGCGACCGGCGTCCATTGTCTCCCTCGACAGAGGCTGACCTGTGTGTCTGGTCAACGTCCACTCGGTGCTTTTCTGCCCTGGCCGCGCCCCACGGGCTGTGTTGAGACGTCACTGCATGGCTGGGTCTGCCTCCGGGCTTGGGAAACCCGCTTGCTGCCCGCGCTCCCGGACTGGACACGCGTGCCCCCGACCCTGGGCCCAGCGCCCGCCCCACTGCGTTCTTTGACCTAGTACATGTGTTTCCCCCTTTAAACCGCACCCCCGGTTCTTGGACTGTCCAGGTCAGGACGAGCTGGGCCTGAGCTGGGGGCCGCGGCCACGTGACCAGCCAGCTCCACGTGGGCAGCGTCCGGCTGTGACGCCTGCCTGCCTGCCCTGACTTGCTCACAGAGGACGGTGACCCTGTGGTCTGGGAGGCGCAGGGCAGCCGGCTGGGGTCCAGCCTGGAAGGGACACTCGGCCGGAGAAGGGGCCCAGCTGGCGGGTCGACCGGGCCCTGGTGCGGCCAGGGGCGCATCTGGCGGCCGGCCGGCCCCTGCCCCAGAAAGTGGCTCCCTAGGCGCTCGTCAGCGTGGGCGCTGCTTCGCGGCCACGCGCTTGCGACCCCGCACTGCGGCTGTTCAAGGAGTTTCTGAGCGTGTCTGTCGGCGGCTGCTCATGCCCACGCACACGCGCCACGCAGCTCCCGGCGGCCCCTGACCCCTCTGTCTGGCCTTGCAGACAGACAAGGTGAAGCTGACCTGGAGGGACCGCTTCCCCGCCTACTTCACCAACCTGGTCTCCATTGTCTTCATGGTGAGTTCCCCTCGCGGAGGCAGGGGAGGTGGCCCCGGGAGCCCTGCGGCCGAGCACCTCGCTGGCGACCTCACCCCCGCCCACCCCGTCCCGGTGATGAGCGCCGACCCTTCTCCCCAGGCCGCCAGCCGGAGGGGGCGGCAGGTGCCAGGGGGGCCCCCCCACTCCGCTGGGCCCCGCACAGGGAGGCTGGGCCGCCCGGGGAGGCCACCGACCCCTGCCTGAATCAGGGAGGCAGCGTGAGGCCTCAGTGCCCCCACGCGGTCAGGGCACCTTGGCTGACGGAAAGGGGTCTTCGGCGGGGATCCCTGAGACCTGGGCCGCTTGGTGGGGCCTCCCGGTGGGCTGGGCGGGGCTGAGCACAGCCTTGCTTAGGGTCCCTGCGCGCACAGCACAGGCGTGAGTGGCTGCCCGCTGGCCAGTCCAGGCCGGGAGCGGGACCACCTGACCGTGACACGGCCACTCGCTGGGGGGACGGGGGGGGGCCATGGACAGGTGGACCCCAGTCCACCCCTCCTGGTGGGGGGAGCGGCATCACAGAGGGAGCCCCCGCCCGCCGGGGCAGGGAGGCCGCAGGGCCCTCCCGCCCAGGGCCACAGGTCCCCTCCCTGAGGTCCCCCCACCGCGTCATCCGTGTGAATGGGCGCGCTGCTGTGGGCTCCCTTAGACTCGGGCTTCCCAGTGTCCTCAGACACGGCGCCTGGGAACCTCTCGCCCGGCCTGTGCCTCGCGGTCACAACACGCGGCCCCACCTCCAACATCGCGCCCCGTCCAGGCCCGTCCAGGCCCGTCCAGGCTGGCGGGGC